AAAGTAAAATGGAAAATATTAGTGAAGGTATGTAAAATTTAAGTGTTTAATGCAATATTTGTTTAATGTGATTTGTCTTTGTGTATATGTGCTTTTGTAGAGTTGTATGTTTAACAATTTTAACCTAGCATTTTTCGTGTTTCGTGGAGCAAAAGTAGCTTGGATTGTGCCGGATTATAAAAACTATTAACGCAGTTTTGTTCTTGCATTTATTTACAATACGATGACAAATATTGGCAATTGGCTTTACTAAAGTTAATTTATATATATTTAAAATTTATTGGATATATTGTATATATAGTAACTATATAGTGTGCCAAGTTTCAAGTCTGTAGCTTCATTTTTCTAGTTTATGCAAAAATATTGGTCATTGGGACCAGTGTGCAACGGTTTAAGTAACTATGATAACACTGAGCATTAAACACGGTAAATCTTGACCGAGCACTTAAATATCTAGTTAAAACAGATTGAGAACCGGTATTTTTATATTTCCTAAAAAGTCAGGACTTTACATTTCTTAAGTGTGTCAACTCTTTGCTAAGCCAAGGTGATTTATTGGAAATTTAGTTTATTGCAGTGTAAAAAACATTAACTGCATCGGACATATTATTGCATAAGTCTGCCTTGCGAAAACAATGTATTCGTTTGGTTGATTTACCTGATTTTTCTTCTAAACGGGTAGAGTGTCAAATATAAGTTCGATTGTAGGGTGATATGGATCTTCTGGTTGCGTGAGTGGTGCTACTCTGGACAGAAACACACCTTCAGGATTTGATACAAAACACAAATCAAGTAGGCGACCTAGTGAATTTCGAACATGGTTTACTTGAGATAAGGATAAGCAGGCCGTCAATAAAATCATGCTGTGCTATATGTAGTAAGACATTCGATCCATCCTCAGTGGACCAGGTAACTCCAAGCTTATTTGCAACAGACTTAATAAAGAAAAGGAGATTTAAATAATCAGGAAGTTCATACAACGGCGGAATATATGAGCAAGTTATGTATATAGAACAACCAGGAAGCGATAACTTTACACAAATAAATTCAATGGTATTGAATTCCTCAAAAAATAACTCCTCTGACGGGAGGTTTGAATCAACTTCAACTCCACCTCCCCGTCTAGAGGGACGGTCATACCTATATATTGTGTACTTACCTGGAAACACTTCGGAGCTAAAGATCTCCGGCTTTAATCAGGTTTCTGTAAACACAGTAATATGAGATGCAAAGGAAAGGCTATCAGAATACAAATACAAGGAGTATGGACACACCAGAACATACTGCACACTTCGATCAGTATGTGTAGATTGTGGAGACTTTCACAATTCCGCCAATTGCCCTGCCAACAAGGAAGACCCCTAAAAGAAGAAATGTGGAAACTGCGGAGGAAATCACACGCAAACTACAGGGGCTGTGTGGTCTACAAGGAGTTGAAAGACCGCATGCGACGAGTGACAACAACGCGTGACCAAAACACGCAAAACGTGTGCACTTACTCAAAAACGACGCCGGAAGTATTTTTCGGGACAGTTCCTGAATGAAAATACAATTTCCAAATAAGAGGCTACACCTTCTACCGCACAGATCATCCAGATGGTAAAGCCCACGGCGGAACAGGCATCCTAATCAAAAACCACTTTCACGAAAGGATTGCAACTAATTACTTGCAGGCCACGTCTATCAAAGTGCAGTCAGATAGCGGTCCCCTTTCCATAGCCGCTGTCTACTGCCCGCCTCGCTTTACAATTACTGAAGGACAATTCATGGATTTTTACAACTTACTTGGAGATCGCTTCATAGCAGCAGGAGATTATAATGCCAAGCATACCCACTGAGGATCACGACTCGTGACTCCCAAAGGAAGGCAATTATATAACGCAATTATAAAACTAAGCAACAAATTGGAATATGTTTCCCCAGGTAGCTCCACATACTGGCCAGCAGACCCCATAAAGGTCCCAGACTTAATAGATTTTGCGGTGACAAAAAACATTCCACGTAATATAATAAGCGCCAAAGCGCTTTCGGACCTTTCATCTGACCACTCGCCAGTGCTAATAACTCTTCTTCAAAGCTCAGAAACTACAGATCACCCCCAGAGACTGACATCGCACAGAACAAACTGGTTAAAATATAAAATGTATGTAAGTTCTCACATCGAACTAACCCCACAGCTTAACATCGAAGCGGACATTGAAAGATCCACTGATACTCTTGAAGATGTACTCGTTGCAGCAGCCATTATTTCAACACCACAATCGAATCAAGCATTTCAAAACTAATCGACGTGCTTGGCAAACCAATAGATCGCCATCTTCAAAACAACGTATTAAGGGAGCAACTCGCACACTAAACCGAGCCCTGAAGAAAGACGCTGAAAATGCACAGCGGTACATCGGAAAACTTTCGCCAACCAGTACAAAACAAAACAAAAACAAAAAAACAGAGGGCTCACCCAAATCTGAGCTCTTCAATCGAAATCCATCAGGTAGCTGGGCCCGCAGCGACGAAGATAGAGCCGAAACTTTTACTTCACATCTCCGAAGCGTTTACCAGGCGAACCCGGCCACTTGTCCATTTCTCCTACCACAAATTGAATCCGAAACTATATCCTTACCAACATTGGTTCAGCCAAAAGGGATCGCGAAAGTGATCGGGGATCTGAAACCGAAAAATTGAACTCCCAAACTCTGCTATTGAGGCTATTTGTAAACTCTTCAATGGGATCATACGTCTCGGCTACTACCCGAGCAAATGGAAAAATCTACTATCATAATGATACCGAAGCCCGGAAAAGTCCACACAATTCCTTCATCCTACAGACCAATAAGTTTACTATCGTGTCTGTCTAAATTGTTCGAAAAATGCCTTCTTACACGCATAATACCATATCTGGAAGCACACAATGTTATCCCGGCACATAAATTTGGCTTCCGTCAAAGACATGGTACAATCGAACAAGTTAACAGAATAACATCGGAAATCCGCACTGCCCTTGAGAATCGGGTATATTGCAGCGATATATTCCTCGATGTATCTCAAGCTTTCGATCTGGCTCGATGACCTCATGCATAAAATCAAAACACACTTGCCTACATACACTCATAAACTACTTAAGTCGTATCTGTACTACAGAGAATTCGCAGTAAGGTGCAACACAACAACATCTGACGACTACATTATCGAAGCTAGAGTCCCGCAAGGAAGCGCACTTCGGCCCTCTGTTCGTCCTATATACAGCGGATATTCCTATAAACGAGCAGCTAACAACATCTACGTTCGCTGACGACACTGCAATCCTCAGTCGCTCGAGGTCCCCAAGCCGAGCAACAACACAATTAGCCAATCACCTCATCGTAGTTGAGAGGTGGCTATCTGATTGGCGTATTAAAATAAATTAACAACAATAAAGGAAAGCTAATTTCGGGCGGAGCCGAAGATGATATACACTTGCAGAATATTATGTACATTATTTTCTCCAAAATTATTCATATGATGCATTCTTAATACTCATAAAAAATCCCAACTTCCTAACTTTAACAAGAGAGAACACTATAGTCGAGTGCCTCGACTATTAGATACCCGTTACTCAGCTAAACAACTTAAAATAAATATGCCTTCTTGAATGTTTTTCGTCGCTCGAATTAGCACCTTGGCCAGCTGTTCCAAAGTCATCCGTTAGATGGCGCTATTGTATTGCGTTTAAGCGTTTAATGGGTTTTTGGGCGTTAGAGTGGGCGTGGCAAACTTTTATTAGGCCAATCGATAGGTATTGACGAAACAAATACATATCAATTAATATTTTCATAATAGCATCAAAACTGTGACCACAGCTTGTGGCTTGTGGGCGTCAGAGGGGGCGTGGCACCATTTTGAAACAAACTTGCGCTGCGTATGAACTCCTAAAATCTACATGAAAATGCCAATCTTCTAGCTTTTATAGTTTCCGAGATCTCAGCGTTCATACGGACAGACAGACAGTCGGACAGACGGACATGGCTAGATCGACTCGGCTAGTGATCCTGAACAAGAATATATATACTTTATAGGGTCGGAAACGCTTCCTTCTACCTGTTACATACTCTTGCACGAATACAATATACCCTTTTCCTCTACTAGTAACGGGTATAAAAACACCAAAGTTATGGCATTTCCAATCGTTCAGTTATATGGCAGCTATGGGATATAGTCGGCCGATCCCGTTCCGACATATATACTGCGTGCAAAGGTAAGAAGGGTGTGTGCAAAGTTTCAATTCGATATCTTTAAAACTGAGAGACTAGTTTGCGTAGAAACAGACAGACGGACAGACGGACATGGCTATATCAACTCAGGAGGTGATCCTGCTCAAGAATATATGTATATACTTTATAGGGTCGGAGATGTCTCCTTCACTGCGTTGCACACTTTTGACCAAAATTATAATACCCTCTGCTAGGGTATAAAAATGTAAACACATAAAGTTTATTCTCAAAAGGCAAACATGCCCTCCACTATCATTGAATAGTACTCCGATTCCCAAAGTCAACGGAGTAACTTAACTCGGCGTCCACCTAGACAGACGACTAGCCTGGAGAAGACACATCGAATGTAAGAAACTACATCTAGAACTAAAAAATAAATAACACATTATTAAAAAATCAAAACTTGAAAAAACAAGTGTCAAAAAAAAAAATTAAAAAGGCCGTCCCAAAAGCGGGTGTTGCCGAAAACCGGAAAGCTTTGCTTAAGAAGTAATTTTGTTCTGATGGAGATCACCCATTCGACCCCCTAAACAACAGCGGTTGCGTCACGACCACGTTGTTGTGCAGTTTAATTAATCTTCAGAAAGTCACGACCGCGACGATCCGCACCTTAAGCCCTAAGCGAGAGCAATTCTCAGTAGGTGGCGCGAAATGCTCATTTTCCTCAGCCACTTAATTATCGATTGATAATTTCCGGACGATTATCGAATTAAAGTGCAACATGCTATTGACCCAATAAAAATCGATTTTAAATGATTTTCGCGCTTTTGTCTTTACTCTTATAATAAACGTAAACATAACACGAAAGTTTTTACATATATTTATCTGCCGACATTGACGTTAGTTTATAATATTGCACAATGAATGGGATCGTTTTTATAACTTAGAGCGTAGTTGTATATTTAAACTTACATACAAACATAATCTCATTTACATCAACGCCTTTTCCATAAATTAATTTATTTATAGAGGCTTACGCATTTATATGTATTAAATCCTATAGTTTCAACTGAAATCGACGCAATAGGGAAATCGTTGTACTTGATTTTGTATCTCCAACATCAATCCACACCTGCCCTACCGGATTCCATTACCAAACTTCACGAGCTCGATGGCAGTTGGTGCTCTTGCTGATGCGAGTGGAATCGATGCTGTTGGTCATTGCTGCTGGCAGTGCCACTACCATTGTCGTGGCTACTAAGCTGCTGCTGATCCGCCTCGCTCTTTACTCCAGAGCCGGGAATAGTGCCGGTGGCCAATCGGAACGCTGCTTCGGTGTGGGAGCGCAAGATCGCTTCAGCCTGGTGCATGCGGAGCGCTGTCTCCGGATCCGGATGGTGGTGGGATGTGTGAAGCGCATGGGGGTGCGGATGCGCCTGCTGGGTGGTGGGGGCCACCGCATGCTGTGAATAGTTGGACGACTGGTGGTGGTGGTGCTGCTGCTGTTGTTGGTGGAGAACTTCTATTGGACGCATTCCACCCACACACGGGTCTGGCTCAAGGGAACCGCGCATCATATGCACGTTCATGTTCATTGCAATCGATGCGGCGGCAGATGATTCGTTTTGCAAACTTGGTACATTTAAATTTGGCGACCGTTGTGAGCGGGAGTTGCTGTTGCTGTGGTGGGTATGCACCAGCAAATGGGACAATTGTTGCTGCTGGTGTTGAGGAGCCTGCTGCTGTTGATGATGATGGGGGTTTAAGTGCGGATGTGAATGATGCGACTGAGTATGATCGCCATGCTGTAAAGTGGGATGGAACATTAATAACAATAATAAAGATGAAGTATAAATGATCAAAATTTCTTCTAATTTTAAATGAAAACGGAAAATAACTTATATTTATACCCGTTACTCGTAGAGTAAAAGGGTATATTGTATTCGTGCAAAAGTATGTAACAGGTAGAAGGAAGCGTTTCCGACCCTATAAAGTATATATATTCTTGTTCAGGATCACTAGCCGAGTCGATCTAGCCATGTCCGTCTGTCCGTCTGTCTGTCCGTCTGTCTGTCCGTCGGTCTGTCCGTATGAACGCTGATATCTCGGAAACTATAAAAGCTAGAAGATTGGCATTTTGCATGTAGATTTTAGGAGTTCCTACGCAGCGCAAGTTTGTTTCAAAATGGTGCCACGCCCCCTCTGACGCCCACAAGCCACAAGCTGTGACCACAGTTTTGATGCTATTATGAAAATTTTAATTGATATGTATTTGTTTCGTCAATACCTATCGATTGGCCTAATACAAGTTTGACACGCCCACTATAACGCCCAAAAACCCATTAAACGCTTAAGCCTGGCTAGCGCCTACATTTCCGCCTTTCATGGCGCCATCTAACGGATGACTTTGGAACAGCTGGCCAAGGTGCTCAACAGAGTCAACGTTAATTCTCGATAAGGATTTCTATTAAAGGAAATTGAGATGGTTTGCATTTGTCAATACCGAACTATATCCCAAGAACTATGCAAATCAAATCAAGTTAGCCAAATTGGAGGTCTTGATCAAACAATGGCGTATGTGTGCATGCTGGTGCAGGACAAAAGCTGTCTGCGCTAAAGCAGCGCTGGTGCTGATGCTCGTGCTGTAAAGCTGCCAGCGCTAAGAGAACGCCTAATTCAAATTGATAATTTGAACTTTTTGTCCTTTTTTCCTGTGGTCACTCTAATTCACATTATGTTAATGCAAAATCTAAAGTTGTTTAGCTGAGTAACGGGTATCTAATAGTCGAGGCACTCGACTATAGCGTTCTCTCTTGTTTTATAATAATACAACACGTGCGAGCTATAAAGGTTCAATGACTTTAAAAAATCAAATAATTACTGTTATTTGTGATCCAAAAATATAAATCTAAAATTACTGATAACAATGAGTTTTTTATTTTACGTAAAAAATATAAAATATTTTCTATCACTCCATGTACCAAAAGCTAATCGCCGTGAAATGTAGTACTGACGTAGACAAAAAGCTACCAAAAAAGAAATCTTGAGCTTTACATTGGTTGGTAAATTTTATGAACCATAGAGCCTAAGGGAACAAACAAAAAAAACATCGATTTTTTCAGAACTTTTAATATTTTTGAAAAGAAACTTTGGTAGAACAGCCACAGTTGCCTTACGTTTTGTTGCTTCAAAATGAACAGCTCACAATAATAGAGGTTAATAGAAAACTGTTATCTTTCCTTGTAGGGAAAAAATTGGAAGAGACCACACATTTTCATGTAGGATTACGCTGCCATCCATACTATATGTGCCACAAAGCAGTTTTTGGAGGACTGTTCAGTGGGCCTCATAAACGGTCGCCTAATTTAATTCACATTAAGTCAATTCTCAAAGTATGGATATCTTAAAGCTAATTATTCTACTGAAGTTGAATGGCTCGACGAGTTAAAGGATTTTTTTCGGCTTACCAAAGTTTGCTTTCTTTCTTGCTTAACTTTCGTGAAAAGTCATTAAATAATAGTTCTTTCGATCAGAATAGAAAAGTTATTTTTTTGAATAAAAGTAGAAAAATATTCATGACTTATAATTAAACTGTGAAAACAACGATAAAAACATATTTTTTAATTTTGAGAACTCAATTTGACCGTATATGTCATATGTGCAATTTTTCGGGCCAAATCTTGATTAGAAATCAAACAGCTTTTATTTGGACCAAAAATGAAAATTATAAAGCAAACTTCAATTATGTTAATAGGAAAACACATCTTGTAAGCAAATCCATTTTCGAGTGAAAACCAAAGTGAGCATGCCAATATGATTCTAAATAAAAAGATTTGATTCTCACATGCTGTTGGTAGGCTGTAGGGCCGTTGCTGGGATTGTTCATCCGCATGGCAGCGGCCAGATTAACCACAGCGGCTTGAACCGCAGCGCTCGGAACTGCTGAATTGTCGACTCCGTCCTGGGGTCGTGATGCAGCAACGGCCGCCGCAGCCGCGGCCATCAACGACATCCTGTTGGCGACGTGCATATCCGTGTCCATCGTGTATTGACCTGAGCTCGGAAGTCGCAACTCGCTCATTTTGTTGGAGTTGTTGTTGTTTGTGCAATTGTTGTTGTTGTTGGTACTGCTGCTGGTGTTGTGCTGGTTGCTATTCTCATTCTCACTCAAGCCATGATCGATGTCCTGGTCTTGATCAGACGTCGTCGACGAAGTAAGACGTCCATTGGAAGAGCATTCGGAGTTTGCCGAAGGGGATGGGCACTTTGAGTTGGATCCCTCCGAGTTGTGAGTCCCTAAAGGTAGGACGATCCCGGCATCTGGAATTCCAATTCTGCCGCCAGTGCCACTGTTGGCAGCTAAGGTTACCGCTAAAAGGGACTCGCGCTCTCGCTGTTCTGCAGCCGCTCGAGACTAAAATGTTAAATTGAATTGGAAAGGAAATGCATTATTATGTATTTTATTCCGAAATTAGAGCTTTATCCATGTTGTAATTCTGCTTTATGTTGGGCCTGCCAAGTTACAATGCATTTGCTTAACATACCAAAACGTACTGAGCCGCAAATTGATGTTTCGGATCCATGCGCATTGACTCCATGTGAGTAAGAAGGCCTTTAAGAAAGAATAGGATTATTTAGATTTCCCTTCTGGATCAAGAACTCTAATGGGTACCATTTTCATGAGTAAAGACTGCCTGGCAAACACTACAAGGCCACATTCGCAGGCTGTTTGTAAGCTGGGAGGTCTCGGCGTGGCATTGTAGATGTTTTCTTAGAGATCCCTCGTTGACATAATGTTTGCCGCACACTGGACAGGGATGGTTGGCTGTTCTTCGTTTGCCTAAATAGCTGTCTATTAAGTTGGAGCCTCCAGTAGTTGCCTGATGGGAGCTTTGTGCGCAGTTTGACTCAGATGTGCACTGTGTAGAGATCTGTTCGTTGCCAATTCCAGTTCCATTTCCGTTACCACTGCCCGTAGCTCCTTGATTTAGCTCGCTAAATTGAGATGAGGCTAAGTAGAAAATTGCATATTTACTTAGAATCATTGAATAAACTTGCTTTGTCAAAATGCATATAGTACATGTTCATAACGGCGGTATTGTGCGCATTGGTGCATCTACCAAAAGATATTTATGGAAAAAATGCGTTATAGGGTCTGCGCAATAAATTGGCAACGTTAGTTATGTAAAAAATATTGTTTTGTCAGACAGGTTTAATTCGTAACGCATATTACTTCAAAAATTTTGTTGGGTTTCGAAAAAGTTCATTCCAGTTCAAATGTAAGTTTTTTTAGCCACTTTAATGCACATACAGTTGCTTTCAACGAAAGGGAAGTGCCTGACTCAGAACTTTGAAAACTATGATAACCTTCTAGTCTTCCAAAATGAGCAAGCGAAAACTTTTTAGAAAGCATAGAATATAAGCTGCAGAAGCCCAGAGAAATCTGTTAGGATTAGCAACTTTCTATGCTTGTATCGATAATGAGTTGAGACATTCATCTGCAGAGCGTGAGGTTTTTACATGCGAACCGTGTTCCTCAGTGGAGGAGACGTCTTCGACCCTATAAAGTATAAATATTCTTGATCGGTATCATAGGAGATCTAACTATGTCCGTCTGTCTGTCTGCCTGTCCGCTTCTACTTCTCTGGTCTCTCAGTTTTAAAGCTATTTATATGAAACTTTTCCATTCGGACGACTTTAATATAAAGCTCCCCTAGGAAAAATTGCAAAAAAACGGGAAATAAAAGTATAACTTCGTTCTTTCTTAACTTATTCCCATAAACTCTGAGATATAGCCATTTTTAAAGAGTTTTATACCCTTGCAGAGGGTATTATTATTTTTGGTCAAAAGTGTGCAACGCAGTGAAGGAGACATCTCCGACCCTATAAAGTATATATATTCTTAAAAAGGTTTAAAGTTTACCACGAAAATTGAATATCGGTTTTTATACCCTTGCAGAGGGTATTATAATTTTGGTCAAAAGTGTGCAACGCAGTGAAGGAGACATCTCCGACCCTATAAAGTATATATATTCGTGATCAGGATCACCTCCTGAGTTGATATAGCCATGTCCGTCTGTCCGTCTGTCTGTCCGTCAGTCTGTTTCTACGCGAACTAGTCTGTCAGTTTTAAAGATATCGAATTGAAACTTTGCACACACCCTTCTTTCCTTTGCACGCAGTATATAAGTCGGAACGGCCGGGATCGGCCGACTATATCCTATAGCTGCCATATAACTGATTGATCGGAAATGCCATAACTCTGCTGTTTGTTAAGTTAGGAAGTTGGGATTTTCTATGGGTTTTATATTTGGCCAATTAATCCGACCTACCAAATTTCAAAAGGATCGGCCGACTATATCTTATAGCTGCCATATAACTGATTGATCGGAAATGCCATAACTTTAGTGTTTGTTAAGTTAGGAAGTTGGAATTTTCTATGGGTTTTATTTTTGCCCAATCAATCCGACATATCAAATTTCATAAGGATCGGCCGACTATATTCTATAGCTGCCATATACATAACTGAACGATTGGAAATGCCATAACTTTGGTGTTTTTAAAGTTAGGAAGTTGGGATTTTTTATGAGTATTAAGAATGCATCATATGAATAATTTTGGAGAATATAATTTGCAGAATATTCTGCAAGGGTATTTCAACTTCGGCTCCGCCCGAAGTTAGCTTTCCTTTCTTGTTTTATCTAAGAAACATATGTTTTCATTTATTCAAGAATATATTTGAACTAAATGTTACTGCATTTTCATTTTCTATTACAAATTAATTTATGCAATGCTTATTTTAAATGGTAAAAGAGTTTACTTATTATTATAAGTACTTGTTAACCTTAACTTTTTTCAAACTTACAAATTATGTTGACGGGATCGGTACTCATTTTTAGGTCTACTACCATTTTTAGGTCTAATCACCGATTTTGCAAGCATTTAGCATTCTTCATATATTTTTTATTCAACACGAATTGTCCTTCATTTCTAAGCAAAAGATTATGAAAATTTGAATTTTAGAGTAAGGAGACATTTGCGACCCTACACAGAAAATAGAATTAGTCTTAAATTTTATATATTTCCTATAAAAATGTACTTTTTTCTAAATCAAAGAAAATACATATTGATTCATAAAATCTAGAAAGTATTTCTTAAATGTAGACACTTTTTCCATAAACTAAAATCGCTCTAAATACAAGAACAAACGCCACTACAAATTGTCTTTGGTTTTGCCATGCGATTCTGAAGTTAAGAATTAGTTCGATAGAAGGTACTTTAAACTTTGGACAGCCATACAAAATAGATGGTGCAAAACTTGGAATAAACGCTCGTTGTTGACTTTGGCTCCTCCATCGAAACTTTTTTTATTTTTAAAAAATGGATGGTATGTTTGTCATGAAATGAATCATATTATGTTATATTCCGTGGGATAACAGAACTTTTACATAACCAAACAGTTATCAGTAAATTACCAAAACAACTAATTAAACACACAAGCACGGTGGCCAGAGATCGTTTAAGGTGATTGGCATCGTCCTGACGAAACTTTTCTAGTACTTGAGTTGCTGGATTATGGCATGCAAAATATGGATTACAGTGATTGGGAGGTATTTGTCAAAAGTATTTCCTAAACTGAATCAGTCAATATCTATAAATTATTTTTTTAATTGGTTAGCTGAGTAACTGGTATCTTATGGTCGAAGTATTGCGGTTATAACATAAACTTCTGATGCTAAACCAAAGCACCTCCTAAAATGTAGACACATACGATATAGTCGCCCGATCCGGCTCTTTCCGACTTATATACTACCTGTAATAAAAAGACAACATGGCTAGATCGACTCTCCTGGTGATGCTGATCAAGAATATATATACTTTATAGGGTCTGAAATGTCTCCTTCACTGCCTTTCAAACTTTTGACTGAAATTATAATACCCTCTGCAAGGGTATAAAAAAGAAATAATAACCAGAAAGGAAAGCTAATTTCGGGCGGAGCCGAAGTTGATATAACCTTGCAGAATATTCTGTAAATTATATTCTCCAAAATTATTCATATGATGCATTCTTAATACTCATAGAAAATCCCAACTTCCTAACTTAACAAACACCAAAGTTATGGCATTTCCAATCGTTCAGTTATATGGCAGCTATAGGATATAGTCGGCCGATCCTTATGAAATTTGGTAGGTCGATTGATTGGCTAGCGTTGCATACTATTGACGAAAATTGTAATACTTCTGTAAGGGTATAAAAATATATTGATATAAAAAAAATTATGTTGTTCTTTTTATACCCTTGCCGAGGTATTTATTTAAATATTATTGCCGGTACCATTTAAATATTATGTAATCACGGTTTTAATTAAATTAAAATCGGACAACAATATCATAAGCTGCCACAGAAACGATGGCAAAATGCTGCGCAAAGTCGACAAGGCTTCATTGTTTTTAGTAATATAGGCATATAAATCGAAATGTAGTAGATTTGTAACAACTGCAAGGGTATATAAACTTCGGCTTGCCGAAGTTTGCTTCCTTTCTTGTTTATGTATGCATATGTCTTACGATGAGTTTGCTGAGCCAGAGTTTCAGTAAAGATTTGGAAACAGTTTAAGTTTCAACTTCACCTTTTTTCGATCAAGGTAAATATATTTAGGTTTTTATAGTACAGTGTTCAATCTCTGATGTAAACAGTACTAAAATTGTTTTCTAAGACTGGATACTATATTTTCTAATAATAAAAATATTTTTGAAGACACAAAAATACTTTTCGGTAGATTCCGAACTTTCTGAGTGTATATTTTTGTGTCAACATTATTACCCGCATGCCACACAAAATACTTCTCTTGGGCCAAAGCACAATGTTTATTTAAAAATGTTGGTGGTTTTTAGAAAAGCAAACTCTAGCTTTGGGTCCTCTTTACCCGGGCTGGAGCATATTATTATTTATTTAGAAACGAATAATATCAATAGGTTCATTTCGGACTCAATCTTACCTGGTCCACTGGGAGTAGGGCTCTTTTCCTTATGCACGTGCTTCATGTGGTCCACAAGAGCCTCGGTGCCGAGGAAGAGTTTATGGCACACAGGACAAGACGTGGCGTTTGGACCACCTATTAGTGCGGCGTGCTGCTGCAAGACACCAAGATGCAGCTGTAGCTCCTGTTCGTAATGCGCGGTGTTTTTCGGTTGCAACAGGGTTTGTGATGGATCGAGAGGGCAAATGGGATCAATACGAAGATCAGATTCGAGGTGAAGGGCGATGTCGAAGGATGTAATATAAAAGCCAATGAAAAAATGCACATGACAAGCCAGATGATAACGCATACTTACTTTCGATGTGTGTGTGCGCAGGCTGGACTCTGTGGCGAATCCCTTTCCACAAATGTTGCAGTGGAACGGACGATTTTTCGCACGTTCCACCTGAGCGTCGTGGTTTCGTAGATGTTGCTGCAGGTTCGAGAGCTGTATGAACGCTCGACCGCAGTCTGGCAAGTGGCATTTGTAGGGTCTTTCTCCTAGAAACAGCAATTATGTAATTCGTTTTTAATATTTCTATATTATTCAAGCGGTAATAAGGGTTAAAGTCCAGATGACAAATGACAAAAAGCTATATAAAGCTGTATATACATATATGATCCGTAAGGACTTAGGATTAAATTTGTATTTTTTAATTTTTAATTTTTTTTTTTTTAATAATTTAAACAAATTTAGACTTTATAGCGATGTAAGCATTGAAATCAAAAATTGGTTATATGTTATTTAAAGTCTGACTCAGTTTACTCCGATGCTTATAGCTTTTTATTCCTTTTGTCTTAAGCTACAATAACCTTAAGGGGGTACAGTATTTAATTATTTTGTTTTCATTTGTTTCTGAATACACAACATTTCAACAATATTGTGCTAACATTTTAGATCGATCCGAGTTAAACTTCTAAAGTTATGGGCAGTTGAACAAAGGTATATTCGATTTTTGGGTGCCCAAAACTTTAAAACGCTCTTTTAAAGAGTTGCCATTTTTAAAGTCGGTTTACACAATCCTGTAAAATCTACTGAACTAATTGTTTTGCACAGTATTTATTTACAAAATTCCTCAGCTAACGTTGCCGAGTTTTCGAGGTTTTTGACATTCAAGTGACTTTAAAATCGGAATTAAAAAATAAAAACTCGACAGCGTTACCTTGGGAAATTTGTCCTTTAAATAATGCAATTTGATTATTTAATTCAGATGATTATGTGATTAGTTACGATGTACACCTCAAACCACCTTTTTTCGACGTGCCGCCGGAAATTGCCTATATCTTACTCACTTTTCAATATTTTTGGATGCAAATTTTCACACATTTGGTTAAGAGTTGTATTATCACACGGGAAAACAAAAGTTTTACTGAAAATATTCGTATCGCAGTTAAAAATGCTTTAAAAGTTACCAATTTTGAGGCTTCCACATCTTAAGTCAGATTTTTATAAAACTAAAATCATATTGCTGAAGTGACTGTGTCCATATATAATAACGATATTTTGGTTTATATAGAATGAACTGTTTTGGAAATATAGATGGCTTTAAAACTTAGTGACTGAGCCGACGACCAAGCGGGCAGACGGACACGGCTATATCAACTCGTCCAGTGCTGCTTATCAAGATTACATTTACTTTTTACACTGCGTTGCCAGCTTTAGACTTAAATTATGCACGGGTGTAATTTTAAAAAATTTCTAAAGCAAAGTAAAAATTTGGTAAACTTATTTAAAATTGAAACAGAAAAGATTTGTATATATATAATTTTGTTTTCAACGGAAAGTTGGTACCGAGTACTTTAAGACCGTACACTACTTTGAAATGTGTCCCCCTCGTAAGTGCATATTTTTTAATCACAAAACGTAGTCCTAATGTTGTATAAAGAAAAAAAATTCAGGGCATTTTAAAAGAAATAAAGTTTAAGGCTAAAAGGAGAAAATAATTTTAAGGAAGTGGGTTGCTCTCGACAAAAAACTATTGATTGTTGACGGTACACTTTTTCCAAATATTAGCAAATCATACTAAAACAAGAAAGGAAGCAAACTTCGGCAAGTCGAAGTTTATATACCCTAGGAGTTATTACAAAACCTCTACATTTCTATGGGAGCTATATATATTCGCCCGATCCGGCTCGTTCCGAATTATATAATTTAGCTTTAAGACTGAGGGACTAGTTTGCGTAGAAACGGACGGAAGGAGCACATAGGCAGGTAGGGTATAAGTCGGAACGAAGGAAGTTTTTTTCCTTACTTGTTAGAAATCAAAACTGAAAGTGGTGTGTGAAGTTTGTCTTTTTAAGCCGACATACCAACTAGACACGTTTTTTAATGACTTAAGCCTAGTATCCAGATCGACAAACGATTACGCTAGCGTAAAAACTTTAGTCTTTCCAGTGTGACCAAAAGTTTGAGAGTTCATCAGATTTAAGCGTGCTACCGTCGTACTGTCAATCAGCTGGGTTTGTTGACAAGCGGTTAAAATTCAAATATCGTAATTGCGGGAAAGAGCCTTTAAAAGATATTATCAAATACCTTGGCAAAACAAGTCTGCCGCTGTACAAAGAAATTAAAAAACAATACAATTTAAATTTAACAGTTGTTTGTTTTAATTTACTGATAATTATCTGCTAATTTAAAGTTCATAGCTGCACTTTTATCGTGTTTTTTCGTACATTCTTGGCCTAAAAAACATTTTGCTCTGACAAGAGGCACCCCAGATAGTATTAATGTTATTTTGTCCTCACATGTAAACACCTGCAATCGACTTTTGTGAGTTTTTTGAGTTTTTCCCACGCCAAAAGATTAAATTTTTTAATTTTTTCGCTAGGGTTCACCCAAAGTTTATTTCCGCAGACTGGCAACGCTATGGAATTTTCTGGTATTTTTTTCGTCGATCAGGGGACCGACGTGAAAAAAAGGCCCGACGAAAAGTGAACGCCAGCTGTTTGCCTCTCGCTCTCTCTCATGACTGGCGTACGGTTTACGTCGAAGTAGATACTAGGCTTTAATAAAATGCCATTTCTGTTTTTTTGGAACTTAGAATTTTAATTAAAATGTTAATTGTTAATGTTAATGTTACGTCCAGGGCTCTCAACAAATTTAAAATACTTAATTTTTTTTGTAAAAGCTCCCTTCCCTTGAATCTCTTTACATTATTTATTTACGATCTCCCTCTAGTCTAGACCTAAATAACCAGCTTACTCTAGTATACATCTTCTAATTAATTTACCATCCAACCTTGGAACGAAGCTTGACAGTACTTTTATTAGAAAACTTATTCAAAGTCTCGAGTTACACGGTCGCGTAAACTTCTCTGTGCCTAATATTTCTCTTACTTTAAATCATTGTAGATCTTACTATGATTTGCATTACCTTTAGAGTGCTGTGTAATGCCTATTATATAGTGTATAGACCACTATTATTTCTACTACCGACTGCTTGACAATCTTAAAAGCATTAATTTAATTAGTATTTTATTTCGTATGATTTTATTTCAGCAAAGATTAATCAGATTTTGTATACAAATATTTAAATGTATAAAAAATATTGTTGTATACATAATATTTTTTAATTAAAGAAGGATATTTTAGGAAATGTCGAAAAAGTCACTTCTGGAGTATCACTTCTTCGTGACTTCTGGAAGTATTCACGACAGGGCGACAGGTGCTAAATTCACTAAATAGTGTCTTCCACGATTGAAAATGCATTCATAAGCAGGCTTAACATTGTTTAAAAAAGTTACATCATTTGTAAAACTAGTGATTTGAAAATGCTTCGTTTTAAAGAGGCTTATTTTTATAAGTTTTAGATAAATATACAACCTACAATATAAAATATAATTTTGGAAAAATTGAGGTACAGCAGTTTGCGAAGTTTTTATATTAAATATGTTCGGAAATGTCTACTTCACTGCAAACTTCTCAGTAATAATTTTTGTTATTTTTTAAGGGGGCAAGTGTATAAAACGACACAGCTTTAAATAACACCAGACGCCCCAGATTCTTAGCTATGTAAAATTGCTGCCCAAAATAGCTAAAGGCTCTTAATTGACTGATTGACTTCATTTAACAAGATTAAAGGAACGCTCGCGAAAATGATGCAGACAGTTGCTTGGAATATTTTGTAGCGCCTCCGACACAATCAAGGCGGTGCAAGAACGGGGCAATGACGCATTTCAGATTTGAAGCCAAATTAATTTCATTTAATCGCGCAATTAAATGAAAAGTGGAAGGTCAGTAACAACTAAGGGGACAGAAGAGCCTGACGACTAAAACGTTTAAGCTACTTAGTGTCACTTTGCCTTCGAGTAACATTAAATACAAATAAATCGTCACAAAGTGCAGTCGTGTAGACGAAACTGCGGTCGAGTCCCGCACTTGGACGCTGAACAACCCTTCGCCAAGTCGTCTAAGGCGACTAAGGAGCTGAACTAAGGAATAGCTGCTGGTTCACACCTCGCAGGCACGTAGTCAGCGCCCACTTCATTTGACCTGTCGCTTTAAGCGTCTTAAAGACTGCACTGGCTGGGTTGCAGCTCCAACGCCTTGGCGGCCCTTCCCGCCTAATGGGTTTCGCTATCCATTATCCATTCCAGCCCGCACCCCGCACCCCGCACCACGCACTTGAGAAAAAGGCCGGCCCGAGACCCTGCATGGTATAATTACCCAATCCAACTCTCGGCGGCGGGAAACGCCGTCCGTTAAAAGGTGGAATTCGGTCGCTGGCTGTGCCACTCTTATTACTGGGGTAAGAGCAAACTGGTTTTCAATTAAAGCGCATTTGATTTCTGGTTCCTGTGTCCCAAAAAGGAGAAAAGGCTCATAGTCAAAAGCGTGGAAATAAAAATCATAAATAGCAATTGTAAAGTTGCAATCAGGTGTTAAAGGGGAATGGTGAGGCTAAGCGGAAATCGGCGGATGTGGAGGATGCGGAGGATCGGGCCGGAATGGGGAAATTAAAACACATTGAATGCAGCTAATGACGTTGAATATTTTCTAGTACTGCCAGATCTGCACATCTATTCATTCCTTTCAGCTGTCCTGAGTCAACAAGCTTCGTGGATTCAAGGAGTAATACGAAGGTGGCAGGGGAGCGGCTACTGACTCAAAAAGCCCTCCAAGTTGATTCAATTATCTTTGTCATTGCCATTTGCAAGTCGACCCGCCGGTTCTGCCAGCTGCAAAGATGTGTTGAATGCGAATGCAAAAGATTTTTAAGAAGAAGTCGAAGACCAAGGTCAGACACGGATTTTACGAGTGCGGAAATCACGAGGATGGCGTTGGACTGAGACTAGTTCCCGTTTTAATTATTCAAGAACGAGCCCTAAGCATTTTTCATCATCTCGGTAATTAAAATTACAATAATTAGAAATAACTCACAAATTGTCAAAATGATGGAACAAAATAACAGACACTTTTTAAAGCCTGGTCGAATTTATTTAAAAGCAGATATTTTCCCCAAGCCGAAAGTTTTGTATCCCTACACGGTCCAGTTTCTCGTC